TGAAGCGCCTTCTTGTGCCGCACGCGCCAACCACGTGTGTCTCTACGACATACAGCCAAATCTTCTGCTCTTTCGCACTTCCGCCTTCCGAATCTTTTTGGATTTTCGTTCCACATTTGTTGGGCGCTCATGCACGAAGGGGAGTTTCCAAAGGGCTCGCGGGTCGTAAGCCCGAAACGTTCAGCAGGTGAAGTCCGACCCGACACGGCTGCGCTACCATTTCTCTTCTTCGCGACAATCTGCGCCCTTGACATTTTCCGCATTCACGTTTCCCAATCCGCGATTCCCTCGGATTCCCGACGGCAGCTCAAACCGACGCGACCTGCCAACAAATGACGACGGCCATCGGGGATCCCGTGGACCGGGAGCCAGATCGCCGCTGCGCCGAACGCGCGTCTGTTCCGTTAACCGTATACAGGTCTGTCTCCTCGAGGACAGACTGTGCAGAGCAGGCCCCGTGCCTCGTGAAATCTGGCCAGATGTCCACTTCCCGCCGAGTGGGAGAATGCACGATGCACGATGCTGAACCAATTCAAACGGTACGGTTTACGTCAGGTGTACTATGATTTTATATAGTGATAACTTCAGCAGTCCCGAAGATGCCTGAACTCCCGACGCTCGTCCGATAACGAATGCATTGATCAAAATCCTTGAAAATAATGGCTCCGGGCGCTCCCGAGAGTTTCGGGTAACTCGGTCGAGACGAGGGAGTCGACAATCGCGATCCCGATTATCATTCCGACGCAATCCGAATGCAAGTTGAGAACGGGTGATGTTACGCCTATGGATCAGAGGAAACGAGGATATGAGGCCCCACAGTGGGGTGGCACTGTGGTAGTTTCAGTCGAGCTACTAAGAGACACGATCCTATCTATGCGACGATGAACATTCGTCCGGCTCTTGAGGACTTTGAGTTTCAGCAGGTCGATGTACAAAATTCTTGCTGTTGACTCGCGAATGTTAAGAAGACTTCGGGCCCAACGCGAGTCGCGCGGGAACCAAAGCAACGGCGACACGCATTGTCGATACGTTCTTCGCATTTCGTTCCTTGGAGACAGTGGGGCGGCGAGCAGTTTCAGAGGACCGGCCTCCGGGAATGGGGAAAGATCTTCATTGCAGTACTAACCACTAAAATTCACTAAACAGTAAAATTCGTAACAAGTTGTCAAATATCACGAGCGCCTGACAATTTCTGTATGTCAATCCGCAGCGATCCGCTGACGTGAGGGCCAGTGTGCCCGAATGCCAGGCCAGGATGCCTGAATGCCTGAGGAGGACCAAGTCGTCGGGGATGAGAGAAGAACCGTAGCGAGGGTAGAAAAATAATGCCCAAGAAGAGAGTCAGAAGGGCGGGAGAAAGGAAGCAGATGCTCCTCAGCCATATCTCTCTCTCTCTCTCTCTCTCTCTCTCTCTCTCTCTCTCTATGGTTCTCGACCCTCCCTCTCTCCTTCGCGCGCATATACGTATGCGCGTAGATTACAGCAATATATGTTCCACTCGCACACATGCAATAATTTAACGAGAGTTTCTCCTCAACTCGACACAAGTCAATCTGCACCGTCATCGTCATCGTCATCGTCATCGTCATCGCCAGGATCATCAGGATCGACTGATTTGCGCCAAGTACATTGAGAACCTCCGAAAACCTCTGGGAATCGCACGCGCCAATCCTTCCGTTTGCCCTTTCGCCCGCCTGCTGCCGCTGCTAAAGCCGCTAAAGCCGCCATCGCCGCCATCATTGTCGCTGCCGTTCGAGTCTTCGCCGAAATTTCCAACCCGAGCGACACCGCGCACTCCTCGACAAGACGGGGGAAACGCGGATGGGTGAAGAATATTAAATTTGGAAAACTCCAGAGCGACTTCACGCAGCTCAATTAGTGTGTAAGTGATGTCGATAGGACTGTGGACGCTTAATGGGAGGCAGAAGTCAAATCGGGAGATGAAGCCGAGAAGGGTAGAGCGAGAGAGACCGAGAGACCGAGAGACCGAGAGGCAGGTGCGTCAGGGTGACATTCCCTCGCTCGGAGGCTCCGCAGCCCGTGTGTTTTGTCTTGATTGCGGCGTTCGCCGTAGCCCAACCACGCGCGTATTGCACCAATCCCAGCGATGCATGAGAATCGGCCTTCACTTCCAAGTCGAAGCGAAGCGGTGCAAGAATCGCTTGCTCTATATTGTATAGTCCTTTTTATTGTCTGGTCCGATTGAATTGAACAATTTTCAAGCAGCCTAACATTGGCTCAACGTGTTCGCCGACTGGGACGTCATTTCATTCGGCTTATTTTGCTGCAAGCCCCAGTGTTTACGTTTCCGAGAAATGAGCCAACGAATGAGACACGATCGCTGATGGTCGCAAGATGGATACAGAGGTGCACGAATGGAGCTAACTGATGTTGAGTAGCCAAAGAGATCCGGCAGCGATTACAGTAATTCCAGAATTTCCAGAAATTCCATCGGAATTTAAAAATTACGAAAATACGACCTAAAATACCGCGCGAAAGGCCTTCAAAGAGTCTTGGGACGTTAAGGCGTCGCGAAGCTCCGAGCAGCGACGGCACCTGCCACAGCGACACATGTATTTCGAAAAAACTATTAAAAGAAATCCTTCCTGTCTTTTAATCCTTCTGCCCTTCGTAAGGCTCATCTCATCTCATTAGTTTTGGAAGGTCGCACAAAGATAAACCACTGCTGGACACTCTCGCAATTCGTTCACGGAATTTACCTAATAAATCGAATTATACAGCAGGATGCTCTCGGGCTCGTGATCTCGACTCAACGAAATTTAGAAGAGCCTTGGTAAAAATAAATGTCCGAAGTTTTCCAGTCGGCACTGACCTGAGGGGATCGACGAAATACAATTGGTACAGGTCATGACATCGGATGCCCAGGAGTGAAGTAGGTACACAGGCGATAACGCAACCCGAGGAAACGGCAGGAAGAATTCGACTAGAAAAGCTATCCTCGATGGCGCTTCTCAATGGCTGACGCGATCCACGCAGCAGAGTCGCATCTAAACAACGTCTTTCAATCCAAACAAACATTCCGAGTCTCAGTCAACAAGCCAAGCAACTAACTATCCGGCCACCTAGCTCACTAGACTTTTCACACACATACGCCGAGTAAGGAAAAGGTAGAATAATTTCCATCCTAATTGCCGCAGCTCAGCATCGTCTTAAATCGCGATTCATCCTGACCAAGTTCAACTGGTGTTTCTCTGAATCTTCATGAAATTCGGCAGAGGGCTAAACATTCCCACGCGGAAGCGCCACGAAAATAATCAGAAGCACGCTTCGAAATAGAAGCTAGTAACCTGCTCGAGCATCTCTTCGAGGCTGCCAGTTCTCGTGGACATTCAATTTTGTGGTTTAGCATGATCATTCGTCTGTGGCATCGGATACTGTTATCTGATCTTTATCGACTGTCTCAATTGCGCGTCGCAGGTATTTAAGATTATGCCGACGGAGATAAAGGACGTTCGTAGGAAAGGAATAAACTCATGACGGCCGTCTTCTCTGACTATGAGAAATCTTTGACAAGTTTGTCGAAATGACGTTCACCTCGTAAAAATTCGCCGCGAAAACACAGATTCGGCTAAATATTAAGAGTTTGAACTATGACTTTTCCAGCAACAATAGCATTCCGAAATTTCAAATCCTATCGAAGAGACTCGTTCCCCACACATCCGTGAGTCGTGACAGGCAAGTGCATGCGGATACACGTGGGTGCCTCGCATACTGATTCCAAGACAAAAGAACACGAGAATAGCTGGGAGGAGCTGCATTTCCAAGAGAGATAGGACAAACACGTGAAAAGGCGAACCCCGAGAATGAGAGGAATACTGCCAAAGGATAACACACATTTCGGAATAGAGAGTACGAAGGTGGTGTATTTAAGAAAGAAGGAAGAAAGAGCAGAGATGAACGAGTCGCAGTTTGACGTGAAGCTTGGCAAATTGCAAGCAAGAGCGAGAAGAGCATCGTATTAACATTAGCATGAACCGTTAAGAAAACAGAGGCTGCAAAAAGCACGGTGATAGGTACCGAATATATAGGGTATGACTGACCGAAACTCAAGGAAGATGCCGGGATGGCAGCACTGTCCATGCATTGACAAGCGAACCAAAACACAGACGGCCTGGCTCTGAAAAAAAGGAATCTTGACTCGCGAATAAGCATGAAATTAGAGAGACGACAGATTAGTCTGGAATTGATAACGCGATTGTCAAATATTTGTCAGCGTGGCGTATACGTACGCGGGGTTTTCCACGAGAAATGCCTCGCGGCTCTCTCAAGACGGCTTGAAACACGACACACACGCTCACGTAAACTCGCTTTTTTTCCAAGAGTTCTTGATGATTTCACTTGTTCACCACTGCCCAATCTTATGTCTACAATACACTGCTATGTCTTCTCAAACTCACCAGGCTGCTTGTTGGCGATCTTATTGAAGCAGTTTTGAAAAACTTCGTAGAGATGCATCGGCTCGTCGTCGCTGGCCGCCATGTTTCCGAACATCCAATGGGTCGGTTTCGCGGAGCGGCCGCGCGCGGAGCCACCCTCCCGACGTCACTCACACTACTGAACTGCCCCAGCTGCCAAGAATCACGGATTGAGCTTCCTACGCGCTACTGGTGGCGCCTCTGCTGGAATTTTGCACATATTAATCTATATTTCCATATTCCGAATTGCAACCATTCTGATTGGGATCATTGCGACCGATCGCAATTTTGCCACCCTTATTTAATTTGAGAAAACGAGTTTAACACTGGCATCTTATCTTTGCACAGTAAATTTTAATTACATCATAAAAAATGAATATAATTGATATTTTACAACAGATATTTATTAATGTACATATAAACTTCAAGAAAAAATAAATGTATAATCTTGCATGAAATTGTGTATACCTATCTCTTCCTTTCAAATCCCAAAAGGACGCTTTTGATCTTCAAATATGAAGTGCAACTACAGTTTCTTCATGTCATACAACTGTTACTTTGCGGTCTGATGAACCTTTCGCTCTCATTAAATTCCAGTAGTCACAGATTTACAGAATGGGTTAATGTGCACCATTTGCTTCCTCCATCTTGGTCACTAATAAAATGCGCAATTTATGAAAAATCAACTATCACTGTACGTGGAGATCAGTCAAGTTTCACTAACCCGTCATTGGACTGCTTGAAAACATTCCAGCCACAGCTTCATTCCGTGCTCGTCCGATCATGTACAAGCTTATGCTTGTAAATATTCGCATAAGAAGACTCATTATTAATGTCACCCCATAATAGTAACCATAACCTGTAAATTTATAAAATTAAGTTAATACATAAGTTACTTAAGAAAAAAACCATAATCTATGCATTTAATGTAGTAAAAATGAAAATAAAAGTTATTCTGAGAATTGAATGTACACTTAGCATCAACTTACTCGACAAGACTCCATCGGGATAACTTATGAGTACAGACCCCTCAAATATTATAGATATAACATTTATCCAGATTGCCTGTAATTAAATTGTGATACATCTATTATTATGAACTCTTGATAGTTTCCTCTGATACTATGACTTACAAACTGTAGAGGCTCATCCGATTCTGTATTTTCAGTTGCCCAAAATAGTGTCACAAAGAACAATAAATTATACACAAGTGTAAATTGTGTAATGTATGGTATTTGTAAAATCCTGTAAAGTTCTTTTACTTAGACTTCTCACTTCGGTACTTATATTTAGGTAAATAAGTTACAATAATTATTAATAGGATACTACTGTGAAATTAAGAATAAAATCTTACCAATAAAGAAGCACAAGATGACCGCAGAAAATACACTGGGGAACAAAGAAGAAGAGGTAAAATTTATAAAGGCACCATCAAGGACTATAACCCAAGGTATACTATTTTAAAATAACGTGAATGTCTACACTAATTATTGTTTTCCTGTCCCATACATGAATTTCAATATAACTTCATATATTAAAAACTTTGACTATTCGGTATTGAAATATAATACTTCTATCAAGAGGGAGGATCAAAGTAACAATGAAAACACAGTGAACAGCAATGCACCGAAAAAAATGTTTCAGTATGACAGCAAAGACTGATTATTGACGTTCGTTATTTTTTCACGACTGTACCATAAGATAGTATTAATAACGAGAGAAATAGTATTGAGTCATTTACCTTTATGGGTGCACGTATTAGATTCCTAAGGCTTGGCATTTTCATAATTGATGATCTTGTATATATGTATATCTTGTTCGTGTTAAAAACTTGATCGAAGACTGACGGTCCGTTTAAAGCAGATCAAATGACAAGTATCCAATATAATTTGATTCTTGCCTCATAGGTATTTCTCTCTACATATATTGCGTATTAACACTTTCGCTGCTGCCGATCTCACGCGAGTGATGTCTTGAGAAGCCAGCCACCACGTTTATGCGCAGGAAGAGCTGCGCCTCAACATTTATTCTCGCCTTATTAATCTCCTGGACATTGTACATATGTGGCCTTCCGGGAAAAACCCATCTCTACGGCGGGGCAATAACTATCAACACATCCTCACACGACCAACAACGAAAGTGTTGATTGTGATACGTGATTGTCAGTGACATCATGGTATTGTATATACATCTTTGGTATATGTATACTCGTTAGGTCTGTTCTGTCGTTAACAATCGTTAATTACACTTTTTTTTTTACTTTTAAAAAAGTGCAAATTCTCATTAGTTGCTTAAAAATATCATCCAATAAGAATATGAAATTTTTGAAAAATGCAGAAAATGTAGGTAATGAGACAGACCAACTAGTACACGTCATACTACTGCCATCTTTTGTAATTTTTCGATATTAATGCATGTAAAAGTAACGTCACGCAATTATTGTTTTTAAGCATCCATTGCAAAACTTATTTACTTTCTATCGGGTTTAAAAGGTAAATGCAAAATGCGAATAGATTTTAGTGAACAATATTAGCTGACAATGAGAAAAGTGAGCTCGTTCCAGAAGTCGGATTCAACGCCATCTTTTGTGCGCAAACCCAGCTTAGAGGACGGCGTGTGTTTTTTTCAGTATCTGAATAGGATTATCATCATCAGACAATTTCGTTGTTTCGTTATAGTGCTAACTACTTGTACCAGAAACTTTGTCGAAATTCGGAAGGATGTTACGAAGAAGTGTCCCCTTGGCCGTGCGTTTACGTTCAGTGATAAGACGGTATCACCAAGAAGCATCGATTATTGGAACAACTCAGGATTCCAACTCGCCGGTTTACCAGGTCAGACAATCTCGTAGCGAGCTTGAGTAAACTGCTACTCTGGATTTATTGCGTACAAATCTTTTCGTTTTATGCTAAGTCTTATTTCGTATAGGCATACACGACAATTGCGAATCACGTGGTTCACGTTTTGTAAGAATTCGATGAATTTTCGAGACATATAAATCTTGATGGCTTTTTCAGAGTTACGCGTGTCTTCTAACACGTGTAGCAGTGTGAATTAATGGAGCCCTTATCGGCTCGTTATCTAATGTTGTTTTCCTCAGCATTCGTGGCCTTGAATGCTTCACCTCATTTGCAATTGAGACGATAAAGTGAAATCAGACGATGACATTAATACCGTGTAAGAGAATAAGACGGTGCAAAAGCAATTATAGCTCAGCTGGTAGAATAATCTTGAATACATCTTGAAGACGTCTCGATTTAGGCGTTTATACTATGGCCGTTATTTAGACTTGTCATGACATTCGGATCTGTTGGAATGCTAGAGTGTAGTCAGTGCAGTGGTTGTTACTCTATTTTTTTTACAAGAAATGTTATGATCTCAATTACTCTTAGCATATGTATATCTTAGGTATACATCGGAGTACAAGTATTTCGACATTTTCGAGTTAAGTTGCTTCGTATAGTTCTCGAGACAGTGCGATATACATATGTATATCTTGAGAAATATGATCATAAGGATTAGGAATAAGAATGTACCCTATTACAAATCAATTATAACCACATATTACCCAGTCAACACGTTGTTAATGTTTTTAAGACTTTTTGCTTTTACTGGATCGCCAGGAAAATTATGTCCGTATGAGCGCCTTAGTGGATCGATTGAAATCGAATGTGGCAAAGATAATCGAGGGTGGTGGGCAAAAAGCCAAGGAACGGCACACCAGAAAAGGGAAGCTGCTACCTCGTGACCGAATAAATTTACTTCTGGACGAGGGCTCGCCGTTTCTCGAGTTCTCGCAACTCGCTGGTTATCAGATGTACGGAGAGGAGGAAGTCCCGGCCGGCGGAATAATTACAGGAATCGGTAGGATAAAAGGGTGAGGCACGACTGAACGCGCTTGCTTAAATTTTATATGACTTAGACCTCTTTGCGGCGACAAGACTATACGATTCTGTTTTTCTCTTTTTTTTTACCTTTTTTCCTTTCTACGTTTCCCCCCTCCTGTTTTCGCCTCGCGACAGGAAGGAGTGCGTAATAGTGGCTAACGATGCCACCGTCAAGGGTGGCAGCTACTACCCCGTCACGGTGAAGAAGCACCTGCGCGCCCAGGAAATCGCACAGGAGAACAGGTTGCCTTGCATCTATCTGGTCGATAGCGGCGGCGCCAACTTGCCGCGACAGGCCGACGTCTTTCCCGACAAGCATCACTTTGGTCGGATCTTTTACAATCAGGCGAGGATGAGCGCTGCGGGAATCGGCCAGATCGCGGTGGTGATGGGCAGCTGCACTGCCGGTGGGGCCTACGTGCCCGCTATGGCGGATGAGAATATTATTATTGGAGAGCAAGGCACAATCTTCTTGGCTGGGCCGCCACTCGTGAAGGCCTCCACCGGCGAGGACGTTACTGCCGAAGATCTTGGAGGAGCCGCCCTGCATTGCCGGTACGCTCGACCCAGCGCGGGAGACGAACTGGCTCGCCTGTGCGTGCTCGATTTGCCTTTCGAGTGACGGAGGATTTTCTTTCGCAGCACATCCGGCGTGACGGACCACTACGCGATCGACGATTCGCACGCTCTTCACTTGGCGCGCAGAATCGTGAGTGACCTCAATCACGTGGCACCTTCGCTCGACCTGCGAATCGAGGGAGAATTCGAGCCGCCGCTGCACGCCGTCGACGAGATTTATGGAATCGTCGGGGACAATCTGAAGCGGCCATTCGACGTGAAGGAGGTAATCGCGCGGATAGTCGACTCTTCTAGGTTTCACGAGTTTAAGGCGCAGTACGGGGAGACGCTCGTTACGGGATTCGCCAGGATTCACGGTTTCCCTGTGGGAATAGTCGCCAACAACGGGGTCCTCTTCTCGGAGTCCGCGCTCAAGGGAGCTCACTTTGTGCAACTGTGCGCCCAACGAAAAGTCCCTTTGGTCTTCCTGCAGAATATAACGGGCACGTTCTCTCCTCTCGTTATTCCGTTTTGTCTCCGTTCCAACCTTATCCGAATCATAACTCTGCTCTCTCTTGGACGCAATAGGATTTATGGTTGGTCGCGAGGCCGAATCCGGAGGCATCGCCAAGAATGGCGCCAAGATGGTGACCGCCGTGGCCTGCGCTCAGGTCCCCAAAATTACGTTGATCATCGGAGGATCTTACGGCGCTGGGAATTACGGAATGTGCGGAAGAGCGTACTCGCCGCGCTTCCTCTACTCCTGGCCGAACTCGAGAATATCCGTCATGGGCGGCGAACAGGCGGCGGGCGTTCTGGCGCAGATCACACGCGATCAGCGCCTTCGCGATAAGAAGACCTGGAGCACGGAGGAGGAGGACAATCTGAAGAAGCCAATAATCGAGCAATTCGAAAACGAGGGGAGCCCCTATTACTCCAGTGCGAGGTAATGGATTGTCATTTCGAATTTCTTCTTTTCTTTTCTTTCTTTTTGTTTTTCCATATTCCTTCTATACATTATTTTCTTTCAGACTTTGGGACGACGGCGTCATCGATCCTGTCGACACTAGAACGGTCCTCGGATTGAGCCTTGCTGCCACCTTGAACGCTCCTATACCTGACACGGTCTTTGGAATATTCCGAATGTGAAGTCGATCGCAATTTACACTGGCTCACCAATTTTTGACAATCATTTTACTTCAGACTTCTTTCATCATTTTTTTAGTGCCATTAATGTATTTTTTTTGTCGATACATTTATAATTAATACACCAATTATACATGTAAGGACATTTTGAATACAAAATACAAATCAGCCTTTGAAGTAGTAAATTTATTTTTTTTTGTTTTCAAAATATTTTCCCATATATTTCAAGTTATTTTACGCGAATGCGTTAATCGATGTTATTGGGGTTAAGGGCCAATGGCATTAGGTATCGTACTAAAGTGAATGGGAAGTGCCCCATGTAAAAGTACATAATCGTAAGACTACGTCCTCGACACTCTCCGCTCGCAAAGGCCAATTTTCTGGGTTCCGGGAATGTCGCGAAGCAAAATTAGGAAAAAGCGGCTAAGAGTTCATGAGAAAATGATGGCGGTCGCTGAGCGGAGAAATCGCCTAACCGGTTGATTATTTGCTTGCTTATCAGGTCGAGCGTTCTTTTAGATTCTTGTTAAGCCGGATGCTTTCAATGTTTCATGTCGGTTACTCGCTAGAAAATATTGTACAGTTTAGTATCACATGACTCGTTTAACATTCTAACTAATCCATCCTCTTCGTTCGACTCTTCCTTTAGCCGTGAGACACGAGGTGTCTTACGCGAGCAACATACTAAATGCACCATTACAGGTTCGGGACAAGACGCGGAAGTGCTTGTCACGTGAAAAGTGTTAAAGATGGACGTGGAGGACGAGGAAGAGGATGACGCTCAGGGGAGCAGCGAACGTCGTCCCGCTGGTAGCGTTCCTATCCGTTTCAACTACCTTGTACTCAAAGTGTTCCTTGATTTGCTCGGCCATCACGGGTCTTTCGCGCGTCGCGTTCTCAGCCTTGCGGATGAATTCCGAGAGAGCTGCAACGAGCAAAGAAGTCATTTGCGATCTTAAGGCGAGCCGAGGCGGCTCCCTTCGGCAATCTCCGATTCCTTACATCGATCCATCTTTACGTCATCCGTAAAGTCCATCTTGATGAATGTCGACATGGTCACCTCGAAGACTTTGTTCTTCTCGTTGGCAGCAAAGGGGACGGCACGCCGCTTGCGACCGTAGCCCACCTGCCCATTGCTGCATTCGATCTGTAGGACGAGCAATTCGACAAGTTTCGGGAGAAGGAAGAAAGTAGAAAGGAGGGCCAAAAGAAATCGTAGCTTACGCCCTGGCATTTGTCGAGGCAAACGTTGACGATGCCGCGAAACTGGACGTAGGTGCTTTCGGGGAACTTGAACGCGCGAAACTTGGCGGTCAGGAAGTCCCCGTCGACGGTATTAAAGTTCTCGAAGAGATACGGATCGACGGAGCAACTGAAAGAGAGGAATAAGAAATGCGTGAGAATTTCGGGAATCAATTGAAAATGGCGCTACGCATTGTTACCCATTGAAGATTATCGTTTCTTCCTGCGTTTTCGTGTCTGTAACCTGCATATAGGTGACGAGGAGTCCGTAGATTGGCGCCGATACTCTGTCTAGGAAGATCTCCATTTGCAAAGGGGTCCCAGGACTGACGTTCAGCTCGCCGGTGACCAGAGTGCCGCCCTGCCTGACGCCAACTCCTAGCGTCGGCACGGGAGCGTTTCCTTGACACTCGTCGAGGATCTCGATCACGCTGAATCATATCGTGGAGAGTTAATCGTCATCGGTCAGCCAACAACCCGGCAGCTACATCCAGTGGATGGCGCAAGAAGGTATAAGAAGCTCAAAGAATGCGGAGACTAGAAATATTGAGGGCTGCGAGGAGACGTGCGCGCGTGTGTTGCGCACGCACGCACGCACGCACGCACGCACGCATTCGACCTGCAATTCTTAATTAAACACTTCATAGCGGCGTTTACCTCGCGTCGACTTTGCGCTAATTTATTTAGTGTTTGGACGATGGCTATTCTTTTTTCTCTGTTGCGTAACTAGTGAGAGAGAGGGAGAGAGAGAGAGAGAGAGAGAGAGAGAGAGAGAGAGAGAGAGAGAGAGGCGAAAACTTACTCGGGCTCCTGAAACTCTGCCGGAAGGACACTCCGTCTTACGGCCGTGTGATTCGTCGTCCTTGAGATTCCTGGCTGGACGAGGACTTCCGTGATGACGCACGTCACGGTGAAGGTGTGCTTGCTCGAATCAGCCGGCTCCTCCATTACGACCCGGTGGTAAAAGACCTTCTGACCCTACGCACACCAGGCCGCTTGTCAGGAGCTCCGATATCCTTTAGTTTTCGATAACCGATTAGCTAACGATCTTACCGTGACTTTGTTGAGAACACGCGTAATCCCGCAACGCGGCATGTCCTGCTCAAGGAGCGACAGGGCGAAGGTAGCGACGGTGTCGCTGAGTCTTGGCTTGCAGGCTTCATCTGCGAGCAGAAGAAATCCGGTTCCTTAAGGGCGTCGTCGGATTGCGACGTGCGCGAGGGACGCGCAGCGTGGGAGGGCGCAGCTAAAAAGAGCTAATCGCTCCTCGCGAGCTAATCGGCACGGTAACCTGGTAACCTGGCAACCTGGCAACCTGGTGCATATATATGCGGAACATGGAAAAAGTAGATCGGGAGGCTACCGCCTGTCACACCAGTGAACCAGTGAGGAGGATTAGGCGGTAGGCGCATCCCTCCTACGTGCAACTACTGTGCGCTACATCGGCTCTTGGTTCCCTCGCTTCCTACCTGGATAGTCCTTGAGCTGCTGCAGGTATATCCTCGCCTCGGGACTGCTCCTTGCGATCTCAACCTCCATCGTCGATTCGGAGCATCGTACTTTGCTGCCACCTGAAAGCCAAACAACCTCCTTCAATATTCATATCCAGCTGCCCAGACGTCCCTTTCCTTCGTTTCTCCGAAAAAGGAAAAAGCAGGAGCCGTGGAAGGTCAGGCGCTGCACTTCGACCTGCACTTCGACCATCAAGGCGCCCCGCTCTGGATTCCGTCGACCTCAAGCAGAGCCTTGTTGGACGGCGCGGTTCGATCCACGCAAGGTGCAGCCCGTTCGCTGCGGTTCAGGAGAAGGGGACTTCCAGAGGACACGTTCATTTTTCCGGAAAGTTTCGGAATTACGCGCACCATGTATAGGCGTCCATTTCCGACTCGACGTCGACACGTCACCTGAATCCATAATGAGTAACGGAGGAGCCGAACGGACGCCGCTCTTCCTCCGTACGTTCGGTCGTTCCGTTCAGTTCCTCTGAGCCTGAGTCCGACTGACGCCAGGCCTCGACTGCGCGGCACCTTTCAATTGGGAAGCTTCTTTAAGTCCTTCGAGCGTTCCCTCGTGCAGAGCTACCCCACTGAACGCTTTCATCTTTTCATCTTTTCATCTTTTGATCTCTCGATCGCGCCAATGGTTCCTGAATGTTAAGCGTCATTCTTTGCATCGTTCTTTGCCAAGCAGAATAGCTGCTGTAGAACCAGTAGAAATACCGAGAATATACCTTGTCGTTACCGAGTGCTTTCACTGCTTTCACTGTTTCTTTCCCCCGAGTGCCTTATAAAGTTATAACGAAAAAAGAGTCAAAAGGCAAAGACTCTTTGCGCGACGGAGGCTGTCGCACGACTACCGACTGAGAGAGAGAGAGAGAGAGAGAGAGAGAGAGAGAGAGAGAGAGAGAGAGAGCAGTGCGCTCTGCCGCCTTTGTCTGGATTATCGTTTCGGCTGGTCTACCCAGGATGTTGAAACAGGTGATTAGATGATTTCACGGAGCCTCCTCTTCTTCCTCTTCTAGCTTTTCCACCGGCTGGAGAAGATTTCCTTTGCTTCCATACACGCATATCATCCGGCTAATATTCCACTGGGTTATTCGAGTTGCTCGAGCAAATCCTCTGTGAATCCTCGGTAAATACTCGGTAAATCCTTCGGGGCTCGGCTTATTGCGAGAGTGTCGACAGCTCGCGGTCTCGCGTTAGCGCATCGCGTGTCCCAACATCAGTGAAAGTTGCCAAGTCCGTTAAAGTTCGTCCAACTAGTGCAGCAGCGAACAATGGCCGACGCAAGTTTATCCTGCCCAATGTTTATCCTTGGTCGAATTCTCTATCTTCAGATACTTTTTATCATTGTCAGCAGTGCGTTACGGATTTGGGCACCAAGAAGCTAGAAATGTTCGCGCCATGCAAGCCACGTGTCACGCGGCACTTTAGATAAAAGTAAAAGTTTGATCGAATGTGCTGACGGTGCCGTCGAATCGACGAACGAGCGATCGGTCGACGTTCAAAAACAGAAACGTTTCCTCTGCAACTCGAGTTGCTCGCAAGTTCTGCGACGGATTAATTGCGTAAGTCCGCGCGTCACGCTCCTCCACTTACGGCGAGAGCCGATCTACTGTGTCGTCGATTCTATAAATACGCGCCGTGCGCCTTCTCTCCATTTGGAGCCTACAACTTTTCTTGATTTACCAAAAAGAATCATTTAGCGCGGATTTTCTGATGTTGAGATTGCGAGGAACGCACGATTTATGCGTGTGTTCCGGGAACGGTGGTACCGTTAGTCTTTGAGCGGGGCGAGGCGGGGGC